CTTTCTTTCCCGATGCTCAGACCAACGAAATCATTAGTTAACGAGGTATCATTAAGATTTTGGAATTTGGGTTGTTTCTTTACTACCCGGATTATGAGGATTAAACCTGAGTAATTTGGACTTGAACTCTTACATGCTCTTCTTTTTTTTTTTTTTTTTTTTTGTTAAGATGTACATAGTTTTTGATTTTAATATTCAACCTCATTTTAAAACTTTTCATGTGGACGAAGCGCGGGCGTTCTCTAGTCTTTTTGAATTTAGACCTTTATAAGCGGTTAAAAAATGGTACAGTGTGTATAACCCAAACTCACTCAGTGCTTCTCATAGTTCAAGCACTGCCTTGATTTTAAATCTAAACAATTCAAGTAGTTTTTGAGCAAATTAGACTGTCTTATACGAATAATCAAGTAACTGTCTAAGCAGTCTGATTTTCAATGGGAAGGTTTCAGAATTTTTCGTGAATTCTGAATTTCTTATTCGTTAGAAACTCATTTTTATGTTCACGTTTAACGGATGCATGAAATGAGAAATGTTTGAGTGGCTGTGAAGACGCCTTAACATACGTATTATAATCTAATTCTCTGGAACTACTATTTCTAAAAACTGTTTCTTCATTCTACAGTTGGGGAGGGCATGCTAGAAGTTTAAGAAGTATTACTGGTCTTGAACAATACACTTCCGGCTTCTCAGGCATCCAGAAAAATTTGAGAAGACGCAAAATAGCTTGTATTTTATGTGGGTCAATAACTGCAGGATGAGGTGATTAATACGAAAGTTACGGATTATTTGCAACTAAGCATTAAAGAATACAAAATACAAAAATCATACTGAGGTTCCAGGCCGTATTCAGGCTAAAGTTCCCATCCTGCGTAATTCAGGCAGTAGTGAATTATTTTGGAGTCTTAGTCCCCTGTCCTTTGGAAGTTGTAAGCATCCTAAAGCGAAGTTGGCGATGACGCTGAGCATAACTATCCTGGGAATTTCCAAGCACTTCTGTTGGGCCCAGTTCACTTTGGAGAATGTTACGCAAAAAATGACTGATTTTAATTCCTAATTTGGCTTCAATTTCTTCGAACCGCTTGCCTAAACAGCTATTTTTAATCCAGGGGAGCATGGCTTGTATTGTGCTTCATGAAATAAACCAATTGTTCGTTATGGGGGAATTCGCAGAATCCAAAAAACTGCTATTCATTTTCGTAGAAAGCACGCGAAACAGCTGAAAGCATAGTCAACATTTTACAGAGCTCGTAGACTGCGACCAAGCAGGTTATCTTGGGAATCCTCCCAAATGCAGTCCTGATTAGAATTTAAAAAACTATTCCTAATTTTCAGGGAAAGTGATTTCAACCAACGCACTGATACTGGAGATGCAAGAATGTCATAGAAAATTCTTTAAAGACTCTGCTCAAATAAATTTTTTTGATGACGGAAAATAGGAATCACCTAGTATTTCAGCTTCAAATATCTACAGTTAGTTTTCCAAAAACTTAATTTTCAGTTATCCAAAATGGTTTCCTCGCGCCAAATCGTAAGCGTCGCACGACGAAGTGTCAAGTTATCCCGCTGTCGGTCTTCCCACGAAATGAATCTACATTTGTTCCAGAAGGCTAGGTTCACATAATTCATCCATTCAGTTCAGAAGTGCCTCTTGAAGATCTTTCACACTTGCCAAAAAAAATACCTACTCCATTTAAGTAGTTTTTTTTTATTTAGTCCGGGTTTCACACTTTATTTGCCTTCGTAGCTAATTAGAATGCCTAGCGCAGTGAATTGCAACTCAAAGTTTGCGTAAGCCGCTTGTATTACATGGTATCATTTAACCTTTTAAAGCTTTTTGAACAGTCAAATAACAGAATGACAAATGTTTTTGACCAAGAATGCCATTATCTAGCAAAAGCTGTGATGTTGTTGAACAGCAAATCGTCATCTTCAACCCATGTCTGGTTGATAAAAATTGAATATTAGTGTAATGTGCCAACTACGAAGTAAAAAGCTTGAAATAACAAAAGAAGTTTCTTTTTATTCCTCACTTCTTCTGATATTGTAAAATGTTATAAAGTAATAAAAAAAACAGTTCAAGAAGGCGTTCTGCTTGCATTCCTTTATAACAACAGCTCCTTTCGATTAATCTTTTATTCCAGCAGATGTAGTTGTCTGCAGTAGCATCGTAAAACTTACCAAACTATTACCTTCAAAAAGCTTCAATCAGATTCCGCAACCGACTCAAAAGTAACAGCTGGAGAAGAAATATTGAGATAGAACCTTGACTTTTGTTTACTATATTGTTAAACAACTACGCAGACTGTCGCGAATTTACACCCGAAGTGAAGCCCATTGAGATCACATTTCCACCATTCGTTGTAGTCGAAATACTGTTGACGCGTGCCTTGGGGGAACAGAAGGAATAAAGAGCAAACGAAAAAACACCAGTTTTTCTGGCAAAAAATTGTTCATGATTGTTCTTGTTGGAGTGTATTGTGTCGTCTAAGAACACTTGAATAAGTCTATATAGTTATTTGTTGTTGGTCACAATCGTTTTTCTTTCCCGGCTCAATAAATTTTTCAGTTTTAAGGACGCTGTTGAAATTGTGAAGCGTTCAAGTGTTATCGGCGTGGCATCTGTCAAGCACCAAATTTGTCTTTTTTATTTCATGGTACTTCAGGTCTTTGGCTAAGAGATACTGTATAACCAAAGGTTTTCCAAATGACGGCTTTCAGACCAACCATTTTTGCAAATTTTAGGCCATCAAGGTTATGCGGTTTACAGGACTTTATGTAATTGTGTTATTTTTCCTTCCTTTCTCATCTATGAAGTCGTTAAGTGTCCTGTTTCGTTTTTCAAAATATTTAGCTACGGGATTTTGGCAGCCTGAAAACTTACGTGTTTAGTCTCATTTTTTTTTATTGGTAAGGAGTGCGCATGGAAAGATTGATGGAATGGCAAAAACAGCTCGTTCTGGTTCAACAACGATTTGTAGTGCGTAGAAGAAGTGTCGTATACTTAAACCTTTTTTTCGGCTGCAACGCTTTCCTGGTCGTAAATAAATTATTTTTGCATTCAGGGTCTTACTGCGTGTTCTACTGAGCAGATGGAGAGAGAACTTCAAATTCGGTTCGATCGTCAGTTCTGGAAGGGTCTAAAAAAGCAGCTTTTGGATTCGAACGGTGTAAAATTGAGTGGAATAGATGCTAACTTCAAATCAGTTCAGATTAAAGCCTTCATATTCTCTCAGATGCTGCTGCATTGTTTTTTCCTGTTGTTTGGTATGCTTGTGCTTCGGAAAACTATACACGCTATTAATGCCGTGAATTACGTCCGATCAAACAGCTATACGATGTCGCCTGAGGCCATTGGTGCGTCACCACAGTTCAAGGAACTCATATTCGCTTTAGAATCTGAATATATAAAGCCTCCAGCATTTTTTCTGCTAAATCAACACGCGCTTAACATGACCTTCAATTTCTTATGCAGTACTGAAAGGCTCGGTGTCCATGAAAGGTTCATATTTGTAACGCTAGACCCGGTAGCGAAAGACGTTTTGATGAAACACTGGCCCAAGATCCGTCAGCTGTATTTACCTGTCCCAAGTCTCTTTGTATGTCCCCATATAATACAGTTAAATTTAAACAATAATTCTTTTAACCTTTCGATTTCTCTCATGATGAGCACGTCAGACGCTTACGTGGTTCAAAATCATGATGTTCTTTTATAAGTTCTAGCTGCACGAGATGTCCCTCGAAAGCAGTTGTACAAGATGTACACAGATATTGGAAGTGAAATATTAGTTTTAAATAAAAATATTTTTAGCACCCGTTTAGCTTCGCTGAGAGCGCCTACCAAGCACTATATTATTTAAGAGCCAGTTTAGCTGTTTCTCTACTTCGAAACGGAAAATCGTTTTGGATGATGCAGCAGGACACGTTTTGGAGGGCTAATCTTTTTGATCTAGATTTGGAGGATAATCCACGGTACGATGCTCTTTTCGATCAAATCGGTGATGGAGAAAACTCAGAAAGAGCTCAATGGATAAATGGTAGGACGACCATTATATTCCCAGAATTTTTGCAGTGACTAACAATTTTTGTTTTAACCAGGAGCAAACTTCTTTATAAAAGCTGACAATGGGACACTGCAATTCTTTGAGTACCTAGCAAAGAAGCTGAAGAACTGGTACACCCCAGACATGGGAGTGATGATACATCAGTGTCACACCTGGGAAAAACCAAAGTGCGCATACATCCCACACAAGCAAGTTTTCTCAACTTTCTTGTAGGAAAATGAAGCTAAATTGCAGTAACTTCATAGTTATCAGGCATACTGCACTGAGGTTCTAGTTATTAAATGAATGACTCCTTTGACTGTAAAATGTGAAAATTTATAACGAGTGTAAGTAATAGATAGTTAGTTTGTCACAGTTCTTTCAGGATCGCTCATTCTTGGGAATGGATGTTCACTGATCAGCGGGACCCTCCGTACATAATTCAGCTTGACTGTGAGACAAACGGAAAATCGAAGTTGATGGAATTAGCGAAATATGGCTTTTACTTTATGAATGACGACGATAACCGTCTCTGTAACCAAACTGCTGTAGAAATAATCCGCCAAAGAATGACTGAAGGGAAAATTCAGACCAGAGAGACGCCGAATAGTTGGGGTCGCTTCCAATTCAAAATATACTGGCGAATAGTTGATCATATGCTTTCAATCCCCATCATTGGGGCTTCCCTAAAGCCCTATCTGGCATCGGCTGGATACCTTTTAATGATAACTATTTAGCCAGGGAGTAATTATGCGCGTTCAACTGTCCTAACGCAGCTTGAATACTTGTCAGGACGTCTCATCTGATCACTGTTCATCTGTATAATGGCTGCGGTGCGAAGGAGAACGACTAAACCCACGACTCCCATATAGGTTGTTAAACTTAACGGCAGATTGATCAATTAAATGATGCAGCTTAAAACACAACCTTGTTTCTGTATAATACAGCTTGCTAGTCACACATTTCTGCAAAATATTGCCTTGTACCTATTTATTGAATTACGGAGAAAACAACTTATAACATAGCCGCGAAAGCCGCAAATACATGACCTGCAAAAAGTCTGAACGAAAAAGACCACTAATAAAATGTTAAAAAATATTTTTTCCCGTCTGCCCCACATGTCTAAGTCATTCCGATGACCAAAGCCAAAAATGCACAAAAGTACTTTAGCGTCCAAAACCTCAGTGAATATAAGACAGGGAAAAGTGGTACAACGCTTTTATTTTTTATAAAACCGTAACAAATTAATCGAAAAGTCCAAAACCCATGTCGTCATCAGATTCCTCTTTTGGCTCCTCTTTCTTTTCTTCTTTTGCTGGAGCAGCTTCTGGAGCTGCACCTCCAGATGCTGCAGCTGGTGCCGCTCCTGTAGGAGCTGCTGCCGGGCCTCCAACACCACTACTAACATTTGCGATCAGACTCTAAAATAAAGAAAAATAATGACTACCCAGATAAAACACCAGTTTACGTCGCATAACTAAACAGCTTCGCCGAAGTTAGTTCGTGCAGTCATACGAGAGCGAATGACCTGCAAATGTCAAAAGACACACAATGGAAAAATGTCATACTTTAACATCAACGCCCTGAAGTGCCTTTGCGAAAAGACCAGGCCAGAACGGCTCAATATCAACGTGAGCTGCCTTCAGCAAAGTAGTAAGTTTTTCATCAGTTATTGGGACATCATCGTCTTGCAGAATTAACGCGGCATATACGCAGGCAAGTTCGTGATGAGACATTATTGAAGTGCACGCTGCTTAAAGCCTTAGCTCCGGGGAGAACAATGCACTTAAACCCTAAAGAAATCGACGCAGCAAGAAGAAGCAACAGTGACATACAAATTTAAAATTTAAAAAGTCTGGAAAAATCAGTGAAGGAAGATCTACCGCGCAATAAAAATTGCTGCAGGATACTAAATTACTAGTACGCATTTCAAGAAATCGCAGTAAAACAGCGATGGAGCGAACCATCAAGTTTAAGAATAAAAGTTCAAATGAAATCTTTTACTTCATTGTACATTGCACAACAAGGTAACGTATACTCAAGCAACAAGAACACAAGCGCCTCCAACAGCCTTGATCTTTTGTTCTGCTGAACGAGAAAAGAATTTTGCTTTTACAATAACTGGTTGCTTCGGCAAAACACCTTTCCCAAGAACTTTAAAATACCCAGCCTGTACAACATCTATCACAGGAGCTTTAGTTTTTTCGTCAGCATACATCCTCCTTTTTCGTTCCGACACCAAACTCCATACCTTATCAAGATTAATAGTTGGGCAATAAACAGTATTCCTGCGAAGATGGTAGTTTCGCATACCAACCTATAAAACCAAAAACCTCTGACAAGCATTAAACCAAAGAAGTTCGCTCAAGCATTTCGGTCCTTCACAAAGTTAAGCACCGCATCCTGATGAAAATAAATCACTGGAAGAGGGATAGCAACCTACCAAAGGCCTTCGAAATAACTTCTATCTAAAAACATTTAAACCAATCAAACCAACCTTTCCAAAATAACCAGGATGGTACTTATCAAAATTTATTCTGTGATGCTGCAATCCACCTGCATTACCTCGACCTCCGGGATGTTTACGGTGCTTTCCAATCCTACCATGCCCATGAGAAACATGGCCCCTTAGTTTTCGCGTCTTACTCTTGGCGGTGGCCATACCTGGAAAAATCCAAAACCCTGATGAAAAGTGCAACAAATATACGACGCAACGATCTGTACACGAGTAGCATATCAAACGGATAGAAGCGACAGGAAGATAAAAAATTCAAAGAATTGTAAAACAAAACACAAATGTTGCATGGAAAGCTAGAGGTAAGGGACGAAGTCAGATGAAAGCGATTACATAGCACGAACTACAGAGGCGGTCATGAACCCAAAAACAAAACCATAAGAACTTTCGATCATAATAGGGTTATATGCAAACTGTCCACCTAGGAAACCCTTTTGAAACACGGCGATTTCGAAACCCTATGTAGAAATTTCCTCTCTGAATAGCTTTTCTTTGAGTAGGAGCGGTAGGGCGGAGAAAATCGCTTTCAACAGCATAATATAACTTTTAGGTCTCTACAAATATCGTCACGAGAGACGTTTTGGCAGATCGCCAGAAAGGAGTACCGTACTTTTCAACTGTAGTAAATTTATTTTGAACAAACTCAGAAATATCCAACTTTTATTCTGAAGTTTGGGAAGCAGGTTTACGTGAAGTTGAACTCGGGAATTCAGGCGAAGACTTGGGATGAGTCAATTTCTTACGAGGCTTGGTCAAATTGGAATAGCTGCTGCTATCGCTGGAGGCATTGTCAACACGGCACTCTATAACGGTTTGTGCCATATTTCGCAGTTTTAGCCCTTCTTTCCTTGATATTTTTCCACAGAATTTGATCCTTGTAAATTTACTCACAGTTACTTAATCTTCTCACTTACATTTCGTTTTACTTACTTCGACCACTAGTAGTTTTGTCGTATACCGGAAATTTTCTTTGTTTGTAGCCGGGAATACCTATTTTAAAAGGCGACGGCCTGTTGAGTTTTTTGTCGCCGTAGTCTTCGCTTTATTGTTTTACTCTTTCTTTCACTTGTTTTTAATTTCTTTAGCTAAAATTCTATCGTAATATTACTTGAGTTAAAGAGGTGGTTAGTAGGCAGCAGAATCATCTTGTTTTTATCTTTTCTAATCTACGATCAAAAATTTTGTTGTTGTTTTAGATTTCAATTTACCAAGCAAAGATTGAAGACGTTTAGTTTTTCGACCATGCAGCGTAATTGACAAATAAATGTTTTTTTTTTTGTTTTGAAGTTGAGGACAGATAATCCTGCATCACTTAGTAATCTTCTGTTTAGAAAAGAAACGCACCTCAAATTAGAATTTGGCCCAAATCATATTAAATTTAGTTGATGGCGGGCAGCGAGCTGTCATTTTTGACCGATTTACTGGAGTTAAGCCTGATGTTGTGGGTGAAGGGACACATTTTTTGATTCCATGGGTTCAGAGGCCAATTATATTTGATATTCGCTCAACCCCGAGGGCTATAGCTACAGTAACTGGTAGTAAAGGTAAGGGACCAACTAGCATTGTGAAAAATGCGGATAAGGTGGGACGCGGTGATAAAAAGTTCAAATTACGTTATTTTAGACCTGCAAAATGTATCAATTACTCTACGTATCTTGCATAGGCCTGAACCCAGTAAGCTACCAAATATTTATTTGAATATTGGACAGGACTATGCTGAAAGAGTTCTTCCCTCAATAACAAACGAGGTTTTAAAGGCAGTTGTGGTGCGTTTAGGAAATTAGTTTATGGTTTCCTTTTAATACTGTTAATTCACCATTTTTAAGTCGTACTTGCATTTATTTACAAAGTCTTTCTAACTTTATCTTAGCAGTTTATTTTTGGCTTTTTTTTTTGCTGGGACCCATGAATTATGGCGCTCCATTTATTCGGCACGCAATGGATGCACTTGTTCAAGTTCTTTGTGAATATTTACGTATTTAGGCACAGTTTGACGCACATGAAATGATAACACAGCGAGAAAGCGTAAGCCATCGTGTGTCGGTGGAACTCTCAGAGCGGGCAAGACAGTTCGGGATTTTACTTGATGATATTGCTATTGTATGTGCACTTATCGGTTCTAGGGTTGGAAAGATTTAAGAAGGGGATTAGAGCGTCACATTATTATCAGAACTTTCTTTAGACCCATTTGTCATTTGGCCGTGAGTTCACTGAAGCTGTTGAAGCAAAACAAGTCGCGCAGCAAGAAGCAGAAAAAGCCAGATATTTAGTTGAAACTGCTGAACAGATGAAGATAGCTGCTATAACAACTGCTGAAGGTGATGCTCAAGCAGCAAAACTTCTTGCACAGGTATTGTTTTCAAGTACAGTTCATTACTGAACAACTGAAACCTTTTATACAGTCGATGTGGCTTTTGGAATCTGACTCAAAATATTTAGCTGTATTTAATCAGAATATATTATCATTTTTAGCGAAACTATTTGTGCACTAATCCTCAAATGAAAGTTTTTTATAGATTTCAAGAGGTAAATTATAAAAAACTCCAAATAGTCTATGTTCTTAAAATTTTTGGCATTTTTTTATTCCTAGGTTTCTAGGAAAGTTTTTTTCCTACTTATTTCACTGGTAAGTAAGCTAAGGAGTTTTATTTTAATAGTGATTACTCTGGAGTCTAGTTTGACTTTGGAAGATTCATGAAGTTACTTTAAAATTGTTAACAATACAGTGTAGTAGAAAAGGTTTTCTTGTCGTTTTTTTCATACTTAACGCTTCATCTTTTTTTTTTTTTTTGAATATTATGTAAAAAATTCATATACTCTTTTTCTTTACTCTCGAAATGTAATAAACAATGAGTTACTTTGTGTGACGGGGGTTCTGAGTATCTCCATAAATCATCCGTAATAGCTTTTTGGATCTTCAAGCTTTTTTACACAAGGAGAAGTCAATGCATACAGATATCTTCATTTCCACTGACTAACTTTTTGTTTCGGTGGTTTTTGTAGCAGATTTATGCGCAGAAGATTTGGTGTCAATTTTTCATAAATTAAGGAGATTTTTTTAAAAGTTGTACTTGCCAAAAAACTTACACTTGTTTAAGATTATTATTGCTAAAAATTGAGGAGTTAGAGTAGAAAATAACTTTGTCTTGTGGAAATGCCATCATGACTTGAATTATTTATTAGCTGCCAAAACTTTATTGCGTCGACCCATAGTCGAAAGCATAAGCAGTAGTTGAGGTTGGGATGGATAAGTTTTTGAAAGATAAAAGTTTGTTTTATTTTTTAAGTTTGTCAGGAGCTGTCGGAACACAATTGATATTTAGTTGCAAGATTTTAACTTAGCTGGAGGAAAGATTTCACACTTTTGAGGGCTGATAGTTGGGAGACTCGAAGGCGATCATCATTTTAAGTGAAGAGCAGCTTTTTGTATATATTTTTTGCTGTTGTAGAGGAGTATCGTTTGCTCGACGCATTTTAATAGGGATTTGAAAGATTTCGATGCACTACTGGAACAACAGGTATTACGAAGTGTTTTTAATCAAATAGTTTTCAGTAAACTTGTTATTATTCATAAGAAAATGCGATTTCCTCTTAAGGTCTTTAATTTAAAAAACACAGTGTGAGGAGATTGTCAACACAAGGACAGGCCAAAGTTCAAATGCATTTGGTCGGTTACACTTCAAAAATATATTCCTGTAATGCGCTTGGCTTGGTTAATTCGAGCTTTGGTGGTCTAATTACCTGTGACCTGGGAGGGATTGTGGATGCGTGAAAATTGTTAGAGTTTGTGAACGCCAAAGGTTTATAAATTGTATTGGAATTTGGAGCAAGAAAAGTCTTCAGACGATAGTGTCGATAGAAGTTGCAAGACTGAGGAAAAGAACAACCGTTTCGCCTTAGTAGTAATTTGCTTTTTCTTTCTTTAATTTGACTATATGCGCAATTTTACATTTGAAGCTTAGGAACTTAGCCAAAAATTGCTGGGGGTTCGGTCGATTGTGTACCTTTTAAAATATAAACTGGGAACTGTTCCGAATAATTTTGAAAGTTTACTCGTATTTGATTGGCGCCATTGAGCAACTCTGTTTGTTCCAGCAATAAGCAATTTTTTTTGGAATTTCTGAAAAAAATGTTATTGGCACTGTAACTGTTAAGCATTTTCTATGAAGTAAAATGTCGTTTCAAAAATGTCTCAAAGATTGCTCCATACATTTAATGCCGATCTCTCTTAGACTGTCTATTAATTACCGCTCTTTGAACGAATGTCACATAACCTTTTCGGCTCATTTAAGATTTCACAATGAAATATCAGTTATATTTTCTTCAATATTAGTGCAATTTATAAGTGATTCAAAGTTTTTTTATGTTAAAATTTATGTGCATCACTTTACTCGGTACTATTACATTTTTGGCAGGCGCGAAGTTCTGATACTTTTTAAAATAAACAGAAAATGAATTATCCCCACCCAGTAGAGTTTACTGAAATTTAATTCTGGAGTAATCTTATAATTTTTGTTCAGTTAAAGCCGCTGATTTTCAAAAAAAGTTGGTACTTCTAAATGTTTATGAATTGTCTTTTTTCTGCTACTGTGTGTTATGCTGTACCAAAAGTGATAAACAGATGCTGTTGTTTTTTGTACTACGGAAAGTTTTGCAACTTATAGTGGTAGTTCGTGTCATCTACTTCAGAATCGATTCTCTAGCATGAGTCAGCTGTTTCATCAACATCTGCGTTTCCACTGTTTTAGTTACATGAAGGTTATGTTATTTTGCCGTAGAACTGAGGATTCTAGGATTATTGGAAAACTGCAAACCATGTATGAGCAACCGACTAGGTAGGCCATATAGAATGACGTGTTGTAGTTGATTGTCTCAAAATTTTTTAAATAGGTTCTAGAATACGTGTCTCTAATTTATTTGTGGTTTTTGCGGACGTCGGTTAATTATTGTTCATTTTCAATGCTTTTTTCAATGCACCTCGGGATACAGCTGTATTGTTTCAATCTGATGAAACTGTAATATATCAAACGGTTCAAAGCTTCTTACAGGTTCGACATGATTCCTTGGTAATTCTATAACTATTTCTCAGGTTTACGTAGATGTAACTGCTGCTGTGGCTTTCAGTTTCTTTGGAATTTTTTTGCAAAATTCAATGAGAATTAGAAGACGTTGAGTTATTCATGTCAATTTAATTCGTTCATTTTTTAAGTGACATTTTTTTGCTTTTTTTTAGGGTTGTGTAACTCAGCTTTTTGAAGAAATTTGACGCTTCAAATCGTGTTTATTTGAAGTAAATCATGTAGGGTGAGATGTATATTTGTTTCTCTAATCTTCTTTAAGCCTCTAGATTTGAAGTATTTTTTGCAACCTAAAATTCTTTTTCTCTTTTAATAGCTAGTTTTATCGCTCACATTTCTGAAAATCATTATTTTCAAATCTCAGGCGAATCTTAGCTTTTACAGAGTCTCATGTAATATGGGTTTCCTCTTGTTTTGAAAGGCAGAGTGAGTGGAAATTGAGATGGTATATATCGGGAAAGAACAGTTTTTACTGTGTGTTTGGGCAGGCGAAAAAAAACTTTCTTATGATTAGGCGTGGGATGTTGTTATGCATGACGTAGGATTGCGTATCGTAAGGTATTTTCTTCAATTAGAGGGGTATCCTGGAGGGAAAAGTGTATAGGTCTAACATTATATGCTTTTCAACCTAATATTATTTTTTCCGGATTCTCTTTAAAGAGTAGAAAAGAGTAAATCGGATCTCTTTTCAGATTTGTTTTAGCTTTTTTTCTTTGAGAATTTCATTTCTGTTTATCTTCTAGGCATTCAAAGATGCTGGCGACGGTCTTATAGAATTGCGAAAAATTGAGGCAGCAGAAGATATTGCTGAGAGGATGGCGAAGTCGAGGAATGTAATATACTTGCCAGGAAATCAGAACACGTTATTCAATTTGCCTGCTTGATGAAACTGATGTACCTTTATTATCGTAAAGAAGGAAAGTAGAAATTTGGTTTTTAAGAGATCTTTATGTTTGTTAGGAAGTTGTTAAAAGTATTTTGGCTTTAAGTTGTTACAGTGTTACGAATAGTCTTCTAGTATCATATATGTACATCATATTAAACCTGGCTTGGTTCTGTACGAATAGTTCTTTAGCGTTTTCTAAAAGGCTAGTGAATTTTTTTAGCTCGTCTTTCCAGCGACGTAACATTTCTCTGCTGTTTGATTTGGTCGTATCAATAATCTCTTTCTCGAAGTATTGGTTTATTTCCCCTTTCATAGTTTATCCACGGGGTCACCAAAATAAATTTTTCTGCTTGTGCAGGTGACGCTGCTGTGATTGGTTTAACGGTTTTTTGTTCTTTTAGGGTCGTAAATATTGCATTAGGATCTAAAAGTAATTTTTAATGGGCCAAGTAGTATTTAATGAGGTGAATTTAATTTTAAAACATTTAAAATGGCACAATCCTTGTTTGTCGCATTTTGCTTCTTGCTTTTTTTTATCAGGATAAATTAATTTTTTTATTATCTGGCTCTAGGCTGCAGGAGTTTTCATTTGTCTGGAGGTGACGAACTGATTTAATGATAAACGTTCATTGTTCATCAAGAAAACTTTCGTTTAGACATGTCTTTTAAATCTTACAATTATTATGAATTTGTTTCTTTCACTCTAAAAATTTTAAAAAACAGTTTTTTGTGTGCTGGACGGTATAATAAAGGTATTGCTCATCTTTTGATTGTCATGATTAACTTGGAAATCTTCCGGTCGAATACTCATTTGATTGCATTAATCTTGATACTCGGGTTTGCCTGTTTTTGTCTATTGCATTGACTTCTACTCGTAGTCAGAAGTTGGTTGGCTGTTATGGTTTTCTCATGTTAAGGATGAGGTGTGCCGATTTACTGTAAATGATTTGAAATTTTTTGGAGTTTACTGCGGTGCATTGTGGCGTGTTGTGGTAGCTCAAAGACTTTTGCAATTTGAGAACTCCGGGGTTCTGTTCATCCTCGGTCATCGCGTGAGTTGTATCTCAAAAAATTTGTTGTAAGAGTTTCACTGCAGGTGAAGGATGCCACTTGGCTGTCGGTTTTACGCAAATCAGTTTCCAGATGTTGAAGATACTGTGATGGTTAACGTTAGGCAAATAGCTGAGATGGGCGCCTACGTGTCTCTTCTTGAATATAATAATAAAGGTTACATGTTGAGCTTTGTTTTTTGTAGGTTCTTGTTTTTGCACTGGACTGTTAGCATCTTGGATTGTATATAATTCTACCCTAGAGAAGGTGTTTGTATTTTTCTTTTTTTTTTTGATGGTATGTTTTGCTGCAGAAGGTATGATCTTGTTATCGGAACTGTCTCGGCGCAGGATACGATCTGTTAATAAATTGATACGTGTTGGCCGTAACGAATGTGTTGTTGTAATAAGGGTTGACAAAGAGAAAGGTTATATCGACTTGTCAAAGCGTCGCGTTTACTCAAAAGATCTTATTCAATGTGAAGATCGATTTGCGAAAGCAAAAGCTGTAAATAGGTTAGTTGTTAATGGGGCATATTTTTTCTCAAAAATTTTATTGTTACTTTTTGTTTAGTGTTAAATTGAGTTGACTTTAAATGAAGCTGATTGGTGGTTTCCCGACTTAAACATGTAGAAATAGTAACGGTTCTTTTTAAAGCATATTACGCCATGTAGCAGACCAGTTAGGTTATCAGAAAGAGGAAGAGCTGGAAGATCTGTATGAAAGAACGGCATGGTACTTTGACAAGAAGTTGAAAAAAAAGGCTGCAGCCTTCGATATTTTCAAAAAAGCTATTAGGTGCTTTTTTAACATTTTTACCAGTAAACCTTTCGTTCTTGACGCCGTCGTACACATTTTTATTTGCTTTCCATCTCATTTTTTTCAGTGACCCATCTGTTTTAAACGAGTGTGATATTTCTGAAGAAATAAGACAAAAACTGTTACAAGATATCAGGTAGAAATTTTTGGTGTTTTACGTTTTAAGGACAAGTATTCAGTTCAAAATTCTCTAAAGATATAACATTAATGCTTGCAGAAAACGTCTGACTCCTCAGGCTGTTAAAATCAGAGCTGACATTGAGGTCTCATGTTTTGCTTATGACGGAATTGATGCTGTTAAAGAAGCTTTAATAAAAGGGCAGCAGTGTTCAACGCATGGTGTTCCTGTTAAAGTTAGTTGAAATTCAGTGAAACGGTAGTACTGTTTTCATTATTCATTAAATTTTACACTTTTTATAGATAAATCTTATTGCTGCTCCTTTGTTTGTCGTAACCGCTCAGACTTTGGAACGAACTGAGGGCTTAGAGGCAGTTAATGTTGCCTTAGATGTTATTAAAACAACGATCGAATCTCACCAGGGTTCTTTTAAAATTGTCACAGCGGTATGATCTGTTCATAAATTAATTCATAAAATAAATTCAGAACGACTCAAGTCTTTTTTTAAGGTCGTAGTCTTTTGATTTTGTTTTAAATGCCTTTACTTCATAATTTTTTGATTACTTTTCAAATACAGAAAATTGAATTAAAATTGCTGTTGTCTTCACTTAAATCTTGGAAGTCCTTTGTGAGTTTCTTCTAGTTCTGTACACACTTTTGTAGCCGAAGGTTGTTACTGACTTGGACGAGGAAGAAATTAAGAAGAGAATGGAGCTTATGGAGCTTAACGAAGACCAAGAAGGCAGTGAAGAGGGAAGCGATGATGAGGGGCTAGTAGCTCCAAAAGGACTTGACCAGCAGGCAGATGCTCAGGAAGCTAGTAGAAAAACAGAAAAAGAGACATCAGATCAGGAATCGGAATGATGCTTTATAGATTTATTTGTATTTTTGGAATGGGTTTACAGTTATTTGGTCTG